CAGGGTCCTTTCTTCAAGCTGCTCTCAAATGAGAGGATCTGGGTCTGTGAACTGGTCATGAATCCCCACTGTGTTGATTCAAGTTATGTTTCTGCCTTCAGACCTATGTTTTTCTGCTAATATATTCCAACCAACATCTTAGTAGGTCACTCGAGTGTTTTATTTTTAAGAATCCTGTGATAAGTTACCCATCACCACAGATCTCTATAGACCAAACTCATGTGGCTTAATCGTAGTACCTATTTCCAGCATGTTTACATGACACCTAATTTTCCAGAACATCATTATTTTCCATTTCAGGTGGTCCAATTCCATGACTGCACTTCCCAACACCATCACTGGCCATCAGGAGTTAGATACCACAGACCATTTTAAGAATACTGATGTTCTCCTCACCAAATCATTTCTTAATGCCTTCATGAAGGAAATGTTCTCCAGGCTTCCCACACAGTATGTTTAGAGGGTGGCTGAGCATATTGCATTACACAGATTCCAAAACTCCCACCTTCCTAAGCCCACTGATTCCTTATTCCACAAGGTACCAGGAAACTTCCAGCTTGTCAACATTATTGACTACAGACTGTCCTTAAGTTCAAGCTTCAGTCAGCTGATGCAGAAGACAGCCAATTCATCATATCCTGTGCTCTGGATGATGGCACCAATGCCCTTAAATTCAGATGATTCAGGTGTTATGTTTCATATGATGTAACATCATTCCCATGTGTGCCTTCAAACTTTTGCTAATACAAACAGTAAGTAAACACCATCATTTTAGAATAGAATACAACATTCTCATGAAGCAATACTTGAATGTGTAAAATTACTCTGTTTTGTCACTGTAATTGACCCTGATGATTGGCCAAGTATGTTCTGTTTGCATTTATTTTGTATTTTCAACTGTTTCTCTTTTTTTAACTTTTAGTTAGTTAACATACAGTGAAATATTGGTTTCAGGAGTAGAATCCAATCATTCATCACTTACATACAACACCCAGAGCTCATCCCAACAAGTGCCCTCCTGATACCCATTACCTATCTAGCCCATGCCCCACCGCCCTCCCTCCATCAACCCTCAGTTTGTTCTCTATCGTTGAGTCTATTATGCTTTGTTTCACTGTCTTCTCTTTTCTCCCTCCCTTCCCATACGTTCATCTGTTGTGTTTCTTAAATTCCACATATGAGTGAAATCATATGGTATTTGACTTTCTCTGATTGATTTATTTTGCTTAGCATAATACATTGTACTTCCATCCATGTCATTGGAAATGGCAAGATTTCATTCCTTTTGATGGCTCAGTTATATTCCATTGTATATATATACCACATCTTCTTTATCCATTCATCAGTGAATGGATATTTGGGCTCTCTCCATAGTTTGGCTATTGTTGATAATGCTGCTATAAACATTGAGGTGTATTTACCCCCTTTGAATTCATATTTTTGTATGCTTTGGGTAAATATCTAATGGTGCAATTTCTGGATCACAGGGTAATTCCATGTTTGGTTTCTTGAGGACCTCCATACTTCTCTCCAGAGTGGCTGCATTAGTTTGCATTCACACCAACAGCAAGAGGGTTCCCCTTTCACCACATCCTCACCAACATCTGTTTTTCCTGTGTTAGTTTTAGCCATTCTGACAGGTGTGAGGTGGTATCTCATCATGGTTTGATTTGTATTTCCCTGATGATGAATGATATTGAGCATCTTTTCATGTATCTGTTTTCCACCTGGATGCCTTCCTTGGAAAGTTGTGTGTTCATGTCTTCTGCCCATTTCTTAACTGGGTTATTTGTGTTTTGAGTATTGAGTTTGAGAAGTTCTTTATAGATTTTGGACACTAACCCTTTATTAGATATGTCATTTGTAAATATCTTCTCCCATTCTATAAGCTGCCTTTTAGTTTTGTTTATTATTGCCTTCAGGGTGCAGAAGATTTTATCTTGATGAAATCCCAATAGTTCATGTTTGCTTTGGTTTCCCTTGCCACCGGAGATGTTATCAAGTAAGAAGTTACTCCAGCTGAGGCCAAAAAGGCTGCTATCTGTGTGCTCCACTAGAATTTTGATGGTCTCCTATCTCACATTTAGGCCTTTCATCCATTTTGAATTTATTTTTGAGTATGGTGTAAGAACATGGTCCAGTTTCATACCTGCACATGTTGCCATCCAGTTTTCCCAATACCATTTGTTGAAGAGACTTTTTTCCATTGGATATTCTTTCCTGCTTTGTTGAAGATGACTTAACCATATAGTTGTGGGTCAATTTCTGGGTTTTCTATTCTATTCCATTGATCTATGTGTCTGTTTTTGTGACAGTTACCGTATTGTCTTAATGGCTACAGCTTTGTAGTATAGCTTGCAATCTGGAATTGTGACACCTCCAGTTTTTTCTTTTTCAGGACTGCTTTGACTATTTAGGGTCTTTTGTAGTTCTATACAAATTTTAGAATTTTTTGTGCTAGCTCTATGAAGAATGCTAATGGTATTTTGATAGGGATTGCATTAAATGTGTAGATTGCTTTTCATAGTATAGACATTTTAATGATGCTTGTTCTTCCAATCCATGAGCATGGATTTTTTTTTCCATTTCTTTGCATCCTCTTCAATTTCTTTCATAAACTTTCTATAGTTTTCAGAGTATAGATCTTTTAACTCCTTAGTTAGGTTTATTCCTAAATATCTTATTGTTTTTGGTGCAATTGTAAATGTGATTGATTCCTTCATTTCTTTTTCTGATGCCTCATTATTGGTGTATAGAAATGCAACCAATTTCTGTACATTGATTTTATACCCTGTGACTTTGCTGAATTCATGTAGTAGCTGTAGCAATTTTTTGGTGGATTCTTTCTGGTTTTCTACATATAGTGTTATCTGAAAATATTTTTTTCTAATTGAAGTATAGTGAACACATGAAGTATGGTGAACACAATATAGTCTTTCAATAACTCTATATGCTATGCTACATTCACCATAAGTGTAGGTACCATCTTTCACTACACAACACTATTATGATACCCCTGACTGTATTCTTGTGCCGTATCTTTTATTCTTGTGACTTATTCATTGTATTCCTGGAAGCCTGTATATCCCACTCCCTTTCACTCATTTTGCTCATCCCCCACCCCTCTCTCTTCTGACAACAGTTTGTTCACTGTATTTATGGGTCTGTTTTGGCTTTTTTTTTTTTTTTTTTTTTTTTTTGCTTTACTTTTTTACATTCCACATGTAAGTGAAATCATATGGTATTTATCTTTCTCTGTCTGATTTATTTCATTTAGCATAACCCTGAACTTAAGTATATTTTTATGTATTGTCCATTTGGATATGTGATTGTTGTGTTAGATTTTCCGTTTTTTTCTTTTTGATTTGTAGGAATTTTTTGTATAGTCTGGATGGAAATTCTTTCCTTGAGACAGCCAGCCAGCCAGACACACACACACACACACACACACACACACACACACACGGAGTGGCTCTCTTAATGGACCTTTTCACAAAGGTATGGTCTTAATTTTACTATATTTCAATTTAGTCAAATTTTTCTATTATGGTTAAAAGTTTCTGTCTTATTTAATAGATCTTTTCCTATTCAAAATTCATGAATAATATCATTAAAATCCATCTTGTTTTACTTATGTCTATAATCAAGTTGAAATTGATTTTTATGTATAAGTTTAAGTATCTTTTCTCCCACAAGGACGTCAGTTGATCTGGAGCCACGTATTGAAAGACTGTCCTCTCCCTCCTGCACTACAGGGCACAAGAGTCATTAATTGGTTGGCTGTCTATGTGTTGGAGCTCCTTCTGGACTCCATACTATCCTATTGGTCGAGTTGTTTAGCCTCCTCCTCAAATATGTTTGATGGAAACTTAATTATCATCAAGATACAGAACTTGTTTATATTCCAAATTTTCTAAGAGCCTTTGTTTTCCAGTAAATGAATGTTGAAATGCTTTACTGAATCTATGGAAATAACTTTATTGTTTTTACTTTCATTTTGTTAATATTATGGATTACATTAACAGAATCATGTGGTGACTGATTTTCAATGTTACTCCAGTCTTGCATAGTGGGAGTAAACCCACTTGACTGACATGTTAACCTTTATTTCTGGATTTGATTTCTTAATCTTTTGTTAGGGATGTTTGCATCTATGTTCATGAAAGATATTGAAAAAAATTCCCTTCATTTTCTTTCTTTTTCCTTTTTTTTATTTTGTAATATCCTTGTAACGTTTTGAAGCCAAGTTTATGCTGACCTTATAAAAAAGAGCTAATAAACACATTATTTATTTTTCCATGTATTGTTTACTTACTACAAATTAATGAAAAAGATTAATGTACCTGCTGTAATGAACTCAGAAATTTGAAATCAAGAATGATTTGTTAGCAGTGTTATAATATCAAACTCTGCATCCAATTTATTCTCACATTTTATTTTGACAGGCTAAGTTTGAGAAAGTCCTGATTCAGGCAGAAAACAGCTACAAGTAGAAATATATTTTATCCAGTTTATATAATATATTAAGATTCTTTTAAAGTAAATAGACATGGCAGGAACATTTAAGATCTGAACAGAAATGATTTTGTCTTCACACGAACAAATTGTAGAGTCATGTAAAAACTTATAGTTAGAACATTAACTTTTTTCTTTTTGTTAAAGTGTCATGATAATTTAAAGATATTTGATAAATTATAACTTGAATCCAGTTTGGTAGAGTCTTCCCTCCTTCCCCTCACAGTACAATGCTTGGACTCCATACAGCCTGCTCTCTGGCTGCAGGTGGGGATGACTGATCAAAGGTGATAACTGGTGACTTTGAGAGACATACTTGGTTTAGAATCAACCCTTGGCAATTTGGGACATTGATGCTAAAACATAAGCAACATTTTAGGTATAATTTTCACTTTTAGGTGATGAGTACTACTAAAATAATTTGGCAATGATTTGTATGTTACACAGGACCAATTTCTTAATTGGAAACTTCTCATAAAAAGATATTAGTGTCCTGTTGTTTCCAAGGAACGTTTTTCTTTTCCAATCAGCTTCTTCATGGCCCCCTTGAACTCCTTATTCCTTAGTGTATAGATCAGGGGGTTCAAGCTGGGAGTAACAATGGAATAAAAGATACTGAGAAGTTTACCTTCATCCTGAGATGGACTGTTTCCTGGCTGGATGTACATGTAGATAACAGTCCCATAGAAGATGGACACCACAATGAGGTGGGAGGAACAGGTCCCAAATGCTTTCTGTCTCCCTGCTGCAGATTTGATCTTCAACACAGCTATAGCAATGAAGCCATAAGAAACCAGAATGAGAAGGAGTGGTGTGAGGAAAATAAAAAAACATAATGCAAATAAGGTTTCCTCCATGGCTGTGGTGTCCACACATGCAATCTTCACCATTGCAGATATTTCACAAAAATAGTGATCCAAATGGTGGTTCCCACATCGGGGAAGACTCATGGCATAGGGTGAAAGTATCATGCAATTAGTAACACCAACTCCCCAGGTCATGGCCACCAGGGTTCGACAGAGTTGGGGGTTCATAATGGTCATGTAGTGCAGAGGCTTGCAGACAGCATTGAATCGGTCATAAGACATCACAGCCAGAAGCATACATTCGACTGTGCATAGTGTCACATCAGTGAAAAGTTGAAAGGCACAGCCACCAAAAGAGATTTTTTTGTCTTTGCCCCAGACATTGACCAACATCTGTGGGACTATATTTGTGATATAACAGAGATCCAAGATGGCTAAATTCCTAAGGAAGAGAAGTACATGGGGGTCTGGAGACGTTCATCCAGTAACGGCAGCAGGATGATGGCCATGTTTCCCATCAAGGCAATGGTGTAGAAGAGAAAGACAACCCCAGAGATGATCATCTCCAGCTGTGGCTGCCCTGGGAATCCAAGGAGTATAAATCCACCAAAATGGGTATTGTTGACCATTTTCCTATTTCTTAATATCAGCTGTGACATATTGGAAGCGAGTGTGTTTATGAACAATATTAGTGGAATTATAGCTGGCAAGAAACGTATCATATAATCAAATAACACATCAGTATTTACATCTTATTGAGTATTTGTTCTGTTTATCCAATTAGGTCTAGAATTTATCCCAGGGCGACCTGTCTACTAGATCCATACTCTCAGTTTTCTGTAGGCTTCTATGCCATGGCTAAAACCTGCAAAATCTCATAGGAAAAGCCTGATGAAAGGCTGATGAAATCCAGTGGACTTCTCTTTATTAATCGGGGTGCTGGGAAGGGGGTTTGGAATCTGTGATCACTCATTGTCTCTTTCATTCAAGTGTTCATAGAAAACACAGGTTTCATACCTCTAATACCCCCTTTTCTAATACTTAAACTGCATGGGCTCAGTTTGGGTCTCCATTTTCACTCTGCTATGTAAATTTTCTGACTTTATATCTTAAACTTTCTTAAGTTTATGTATTTATTTTTGAGAGACAGAGACAGCATGAGCAGGGGAGGGGCAGAGAGAGAGGGAGAGAGAAAGAATCCCAGGCAGGCTCCATGCTATCAGCACAGAGCTCTAAGCAGGGCTTGAGCACAAAACCATGAGATCATGACGTGAGCCAAAACCAAGAGTTGGACAGTTAACTGACTGAGCCACCCAGGTGACCAAGTGACTTTAGATTTTAAAGTCAAACTTTTTTCTTTCATCTCAAAACTTGGGTTTCCAAATGCTATCTGCCCTTCCCCGCATGGTCCCAGAACAGCATTCCTCCCACTTTCCCTTCAGATGCCATTTTTCATCTGAACTTTGTGTCCACCATCCACTACTTCCTGTTTCCATCTCTTCATTTTACATTCAATCTCTGATATTCATTTGTGTCCTTCCTCTCATCCTACAAGAACTTCCATTCTATGACTCATACATATGAAATGTTAAAACACCTCAGGAGGGGGAGCTGTGTTATTTTTGTGTTCATATTTCATGACTCCCCTCAGGATCGGCACAGAGAAAACATCCATGAATATGTGAGATTTGTTAAAAGAAACTTTGCTGATCACATCTGACTCTTTCCTTTCATACCTCAAAAAAGTGGTGTCTTTGTAAAAACTCAAGCAGGAACTGTGGAAAACTATATAGGTTCCTCAAAAAAAAATTGAAATTAAAATTAGCATACAATACATTAATGTCTCTACTGAGCTATTCAATGAAAATGAACTCACTAACTAAAAGGGATACATGAACCCACATGTTTATTGCAGTATTATTTACAATAGCCGAGATATGGAAGCAACCTGTGACCACTGACTGATGGATGGAGAAATGGTATGTGTGTATATATACATACACATACATATATATATACACATACACATATAAATAGTACTCAGCAATCAAAAAGAACAAAATCTGGTCATTTGCAAAGAGGTAGATGGAGCTAGAGTTTATATCCTAAACAAAATAAGCCAGTGAAAGAAAAACACCACATGATTTCACACATATGTGAAATTCAAGAAACAAAACAAATGAACAAAGAAAAAAGGAAACAAAAACCAAGACTTTTAACTATAGAAAACAAACTGCTGATCAACAGAGGGGAGATGGGGGGTGGAGGAGATAGGTGAAATAGGTGATGGAGATTAAGAGTGTACTTATTGTGATGAACCTGGAGAAAGATAGAAAATTACTGAATCATTATATTGTACACCTGAACTAGCATAAAACTGTGAATTAATTATACTTTACCAAAGAAAAAAAAAGGCTCAACCCAAATATTCAACTAAAACAGGTCCCTCCTGAGGTGGGTGGGAGGCTGGAGGAACAGATGATGGGTATTAGGGAGGGCACTTGTGATGAGCACTGGGTGCTGTATAGGTTGAATCACTAAATTGTAGACCTGAAACAAATACTGCATGTAGGTTAACTGGAATTTAAATAAAATCTTAATAATAAAAATAAAAAAAATAAACAATGTCTCTCATGCACAGAAATGAATTCCTAGCTTCCAAACCAGTGGTCTTTTCCACGTTATTTTTCTACCTGAATTCTCAGTGGCAGGTTAGTGCCCCCATGTCAGCGTTGCCCTTTGCCTTCCCAAAGACACCACCTAGCTGCCCTCCTGACCCCCCCACCCAGGGCACCCTCCCTGCTAGCTCTGTCCCCAGAGTGTTCTAACGGGCTCTCCTTTCTCCCCTTCCTCCTGTGTCACAAGGCTTCCCTTACCAATTTTTCATAGAAAACTAACAGCCTAGGTCTTCTGGCCCTCTCATCCTTTGCGCCTCAGATTTAAAATTTTAGCTAATTTTTCGGAATTTGTACTGACTTTGATAACAGTAACTTCCCATACCACATGTACACAAAATTGAATTTATTACGTTACCTCGTAAAACAAACGTTAGCTCTTTCTTTCACAGACATGAACTTTTTATGTATATAGCGGTGTTATAAACTACTTCCTAGGGTCTTAAAAATGTTTGTTAAAATGAATTTATGAACTCTGGACATAGAAATTAAAAACACAAATATTCATTTTCATTTCTAGTGTACATTTCATTACATGTGATTAAACATATGTCTCGGACTTTGAAGGACAGAAAATTCATATAAAAGCCAGAAGCTTCTTTTGTACATTTCTTTGAGAATTTTGTAAACTAATTTAAATACAACATGATTTTTAAAGTAGGGAATGTTTCTTTCTCTCTTCACCTAAATAACACTGAGAATGTAATTATTCTTTACTTACAAGATTTCTCCCACTTGCCATGGGGATCATATAGGAGACACTCCTGTTCCTGTCCAAGGAGAATCATCCTATTTATATGACTGGGAAGAGAAACCTGCAGTGTGAAAGATGACAGGTCATTTCCCCAAACAGCAATGATGAAATGTGTTGAGTCTGGGAAGACCTTAGGGATGCTGGGTTATCTCATTAGCAATTAAGGTATATTGTACATTACCCAGGGAAAATCATTTTTAAAAAACCCCAGGAGTTTCCATAGTTAACTGACTCATTTTCAACTCTGCATGGAAATTACAACCATCATTTATTTGAAGTAATAGTAATATAAGACCAAATGAATAACTATGCTTTGCAATTCAAAATACATTTCTGTGTCTGGTTTCATCAATGAAACACTTCTACTGATGGTGTTAGTACTGCAGTTTCTGTGCAAGAAATTCATGTGTCCAGAACTTACAGATTGTCACAAGGCAACATAGGCAATGATGAGACATTTAACCCACATATAATCATGATTGTAAGTTTTATTTTTTCTGTCACATTTGCTTTTGTTTAACTTAAACTTTCAAATATATTTCAATAACAATGAAATTTGTGACTTCTACAAAGAAGGGCGCCTTTAGCAATAGTGCCCCTGACAGTTTGTCCTGGAGTCACAACCATGGATGGAAGAGGTCAGAGGTTATGGTGGTGATTATTTGATAGAGTTATGTTATGCCTGAAAGCCATAATTTGTTATTTAAACTTTGGCTTGTTATTCCCATTGAGGACACACTGGCCAATTAACACTCCCTGGAAACTGACATTTTATAGATACGTGATCCCGCAAAATTTCAGCAGTTTTTATTGTTGAATAGCTTGGTAATAGGATCAGAGAGTGTAAGTCTTGTCAATGACCCTAGAGATTATTTATAAGGATAGGCCAAAACTCTAGCATTAGTGTTGTGAGAATCATTACTTCCTCTCCTCCTCTGAGAAATCACCTCAAAACAATAAGGATGATAATAAAGGGGAAATGCAGCTTTATTTAAGCAGCTGAGCTCTGAAACATGGATCCTAAAATAGAAAACTATTCCAGGGTTAGTGAAGGTCAGACAGTGGAATATGCAGAAGAAAGGATGCCTCCTACTTTGAGAAGCTGAAGGAGGTAAGCTAAGGGGCCTCCTGAACACAGAGCAGGATGGAGCATATCAGGGGATGGTTCTTATATCCATCTGGACTTCTGGAAGAACCACACAGGACACCACTGAGACAGACCTTCTGAAGAATATTTTCTCTTGTTATGTATGTGGTGAGGAGAGGGACTGTGAACAGACTGTGAGCAGGAATTGTGAGTTCACATCACAACACGATAGCCTAAAATCTCCCTTATGTGTGTGACCCTGGGTCTGAAGGAACATTCTCAAGCTCAAAGCATAGACTTTGCTCCTTCCCAACACAAATATTCTGAAATGGGTGGTCCAGGAAAGAAATTTCAGGTTGAATGTAGTAATAAGAAATAAGAAATGAGTTCCATATTTCTAAAATAATAATAATAATAATACCCAATGGGCATGAAAGGGTCAGGAGAGAAGCAAATAACAGATGAGGAGGGGCACTAACCTCACTCTTTATTTTTTTTAATGTTTATTTATTTTTGAAAGAGACCATGAACAGGGGAGGGGTAGAGAGAGAGGATGACACAGAATCCGAAGCAGGCTCCAGGCTCTGAGCTGTCAGCACAGAGCCCGACACAGTGCTCCAACCCACGAACTGCGAGATCCTGACCTGAGCTGAAATCGGACACTTAACCAATTGAGCCACCCAGGTCCCATCACTTCATTCCTTAAGTGTTACACACGGAAGATGAAGTTACAGGATCACATTTCATTTAAAAAGAAAAACATCAGGAAATAATTAGCTCTGTGGAACTAGAAGACAGCTCAGAAATATAAGAACTCATAAAATACATGGTGTAAGAGATGAGCAGTAATGGAGTTTAGCTGAGGGAACACAAATGGGGAAGAAAACAACAGAAATGAAATAAAATTTTGAAACACAGAATACAGACTTGGCTGAATAAATCTTACAGGAAAATGAGGTCAAGATGAAGAAGCTGAATAAAATTAAAATAAAATGAACAAGATGTTCAAAATATTAGCAAGAAAAATATGGTTATTAAAGTTTACCAAGGGTATTATGTATATGTTCAATTGGAATTCATGGAGAAATATCACTAAAACAGTGAAGCAAAGGA